AGGTCCCAGGATGATCGACGTAGCAGCCCAGACTGGTGGAGGCTAAGGGCCCTTAGGCTGGTTGTGCGGCCAGCGAATGTCGTTGCATATGTTGCACAGTGGCTTGAGGACCCTGTCGAACAATGCCCTTGTTCGAGGCCGGTTCAGCCATGTGATTTGCTCCCGGGGTGGTGGTGGTGGAGTGGCTCTGTCCGAGAGCCTCTCGTTTTCTCTCTCTCTCTATCTCTCTCGCTTGCTCTGCTGCTTGGGGGCGGTTGGGTTCGGGGCGGGCTGGAGTTTGTTGCTGTTCGCAGGGAGGGCGTGCGCTGAGTGAGGGGCCTGAGTGAGAATGATAAGAATAACCTAGCGGCCTATTGTTTGCGTTGTTGCGGTGAACTCTGGGCATGGTCTTGTGACTCTTTCTTTGGGGGAGAAAACTTGGCACAGGCTTTGGTTTCCTGTTCGGGCCTCCCATTGCGTGCTGTCGAGACTCGTATGTGGCTGGGGCGATGAGCGGTGTGGCTTTAGCCGAGGCTTGTCTTTTTTGTGGGGTCTTTCCGTCTTTCCGTCTTTTCCTGGCAGGCCAGTCACAGTCAGGTCAGGCAGGTCAGGTGCCAGAGCCCAACTGGCTGCCTCATCAGGCATCGTTCCACGGAACATGATCGGCTTGAGCCCCACAATGCCGGCCCTAAGGTAGGCAAGAGCGTCCACAGCGCCCGGCAAGAGCATCCCCAGCGCCCGGCAAGAGCGTCGTCCCCAGCGCAGCCCGACGGCACCGGCAAAAGCGGGGCGCATCTAATTCGGGGCGCCCTGAACGAATCAAGCGCGCGCGTTTCGACTGCGCGGCTACAGACCTCAACATGAGCAACCAAGAACAACCTCCTTTGAACAACCGAAACGCCAGCCCTGCCCCTGGTGACTCCGTACTGCCATCCACTCAGTGCCTCTTTCAACCACTCAAGCGCTTGCCACGAAAAGGACCTCGTCTCACCGTGGCCTCTCAATGAGGTCTGCCTGCTGGGGAATGGCCAGTGGTGGCGACGACAAAGGCCCGGCGCTTCACGACATCCTCTCATTTCTCGCGGCCCGAGACCTTTCCAGACCTGCACTGCCCCGGCCCTGCGATCGCACATTGCTGCTTCCCCAGAGGCCTCACGCCCCAAGACGATGTTTGGCTTGCCCTGCCGATGATGCGAGCCTGAGTTTACCTCGCTGGGCCTGGTGATTGCTCCCCCCCCAAACGACAGCTTGGCCATCGTCAGTCTGCCGCTTGTTTCTGGTGGCCCCCAAGGGAACCCTGACGAGCCAGTCGTGCTACCATCCTCTTCTGCGCCCCCAGGTTACCGCGCTGCCGCCGACATGGTCCTTGGTTGGCCGTCAGCGGGCCTTTGCCTGCGACCCTCTTTCCTCGATCGGGCCCTGCAGCCTGTACGAAGCCGCCGCTGTTTCCGAGCCGTCAGCGCTGCAACCGACGACGGCGGCCTATGGACCCATGGAAAAGAGAAACGCATCCAAATCTGGCACCATGGCGAGCACATTTGTGTGTGTGGTCTGGGCATGCTCGACCGACTGGCTGCCTGATGAGATCAGAACTCGAGGGCCATCGACTGTCGCATGGTGAGAGGGAAATGCCATCGTCATCCGATGCGCATTTCTTTGATCGCGCCAAGGGAAACGCAGGCGCCTGCTTCGTCGTGTGTCGTCCCTTTTGTTCTGACACCAGCCCACTCACTTCGTGCCAGCCCTACCGACGAGACTGTCTCTTGTTTTTTTTTTTTTTTTTGTCTTCTTCCTCTTTCTTGTCCTCTGGTGCTGTTCCCGAACAAAGTCTTTGTAATTGACCGGCACCTTGACGAATATCTTTCCTGATCTGTCATATTCTCGAACCGCCCCTTGTTTGTGGCCGCATACCTGATCCATTTCATACACTTTGCAGGTTGACTCTTGAACATCATACACTCATCACTGCGTGACTCTCTTCGATTAGACGCTCTACCCAACGGTGTACACCTTGAACGGCGACAGCAAGATCGGCTTTCCTTTCTATACCAGAGACGGGCGTCTCTCCCCGAAAACACGCTACACATCTACAACACCAAAACCTCCATCATGGCGAGGATACGAACTCGAACAGTCTTCCTTGCGTGCCTGCTCGCTTCCGCAAAGGCAGCATCCATTCCATCCATCTTCCAACGCGACGACCAAGCAGTGTGCGGTGGCAAGAACCTCTTCCAGTGCTCGAGCGGCGTCGACGATGGACTTTGCTGCAAGACGGGCGACACATGCATCTACCTCGCCGGTGGATCAACAGTGCTGTGCTGTCCGGCAGCCACCTGTAACCGGATCATGCCCATCCAATGCAACGTTGCCGCGCAAAATCCAGCCAATTTCCCCAACGCACCTCTCAAGACGACGGCACTGCGGGCAGAGCTGCCCAAGTGCGGCGATAATTGCTGCCCCTTCGGCTTCACCTGCAACAGCGACGGCCAGTGCGACATGGACGAGAATCAGTCAGAGAGGCCATCAGAGCGACCGGCTTCGGAAATATCATCCACCACAGTAGCGCCGACATCGACGCTGCCCTCACCGAGCATCATCACCTCGACGCCCGAGCCTACGGCTACATCAGCTACGGCAACATCATCATCAACGACAACGCCCACCGCCGGTGCTGAAGAGCAGCAGCAGGACAACAACAATTCGTCAGAGGACGACAAAAAATCCTTCCCAACAGCAGGCGTTGTAGTCGGCGTCCTCGGCGGCGTGCTTGTGCTCATCGGTGTAGCCGCCGGCGTCTTCATGTGCCTCTCTCGCCGGCGCCGCAACCACAGCCGCGCAAGCCCCTCGTCGTCGTCGCGCCCCTTTTCCTCGGAGAAGAAACACTCCGCCCTCCGCCGCGCCGCCTCCTCCACCTCGTCCTTTGGCAACTTCATCTCCGAGCCGATCCCCAACGACGCCTCGGCGCTGCGCACCGACTTTATCCTCAAGACGCCCTCGACAGCAGGAGCAAACAACACGACAACAGCAAAACGCGCCTCGCAGCGCCTCTCGGCTCTCTTTCGCCGTGACGCGCCGAGCGGCAGCGGCGGCGCCACCGCCATGGTTGCGAACCCGCGCTCGCCCCCGCGCATCCCGGCCCGCACCCTCTCCAATGCCACCATGACAACGTCCGACCCGCGCGCCGCGCTGCACATTCCGCCCATCCGCACGATGCGCAACCAGCAGCGCCCGGTCATCCAGACAGGCAGCGCGTGGGCGCGAGGCCCCGCGGCCCGCGCGGCGGCCGTGCTGGCTACGACGCCCACGGAGCCTACGGTGCCCGTGACGCCGCGGCTGCAGCGAGAGCCGAGCGGCGAGTGCATCAACATATTTGCCGACCCGGGCACTGTCGGCGGCGGCAACGGAGACAGGTTGATGCCCGGGGGGTTGCTGCCGCCGAGGGCCAAGCGGAACACGTCTGCCACGACATTTACGGAGCTCATGGAGGAGGCGCAGTTGGGGGATGTGCGGAGGTGGGATCCTTTTGTGCTGAGGACACCGGGGCGGTTGTTTTCCCCTAGCTGATACGGGGGTTCATCCGATTTCTGTTTTGTCTTCATTAATGCCCCTCGAGCGTGGGCGTTTTTGTCTTTAACTCATTTATTTGAGTGAACACATTTGTTGACTGTGAATTTTTTTTTTTTTTTTTTTCTT